TCCCGATAGGAGCTGCACATATCTCGTTCTCAGGGCACACTCAGATGAGACATCCTACGAGTAAAACCAACCCTCAAGTTGCCCCGAGGTGGCCCCGCAGTCTACTCGGTCGGACCAACGCTCAGAGGAGCACTGGCCCGTGGGGGGGCTAAAATAAAGATGACCCTCGGGCTCCGGAAACCCAAGGGAAAAAGGGGTAGGTGGCAAATGGTAAAACCAATGTTGGGCATTGCTGGAAAAGCTTTAATCAAGGCGAACTATCAAGGGGTTCCCATTATAGCCCAACCGCGTAAGGGACGCAACAATCCGGGAACATAACACCGATATGACGGAAACTAGGGCGGCAAGGGTGGAACAAAACACTAGGCGAGAGGCCGAGCCTTCCACCCTTTACCAAGTATATAGATGAATTAAGATAATATGGCAATATAATGATATCCCAACAAGTAAATAAATGTTCCAACAAGGAACGGCTCCAATCTTCACCTGCAACTAACAACGCTATAAGAAGGGGCTGAGCAAAGCGGTAACATAGCCAATCAATGGTTTGCTAGGACAATGGTGGGTTAGAGGCTCAATCATGGCAATTGGGAGGCTGACAAGCAAGTGGTAGGCAACGTAGCATTGGCAAAGCAAAAGAGCGAGCAAACTAGCATAGCAAAGATAGTAGTGATTTCGAGGGTATGATCATCTTGCCTGCACAGTTGTCAGAGTTGACTGGATCCTCAAAAGCAAACTCAACGGGCTCCTCGTTAGCGAACTCGTCTCCCGGCTCTACCCAACAACACAAACAAGCAACAAGAATACAATCAACCACGTGCAAGGGCAACCAATAATATGCAAAGATGGTATGCTATGCGGGATGCGATGCGGGATGCAAAAATGCAAGACGTGACAGGAAATGCATGAACCTGGCCTCAACTTGGAAAACCAAGTGTGCCACTGGATAGAGGGGATGAAATCACCTGAAAACGATATAAAGATCGTAGGAATCGGAGCTACGGTTTGGAAATGGCAAGCGTTTTACGAAACGAACCGATCTGCGATTTACAGCAAGTAGGCTCCTAAATGCAACGAGATGAACACGCTACAGCCACCAAACATGAAAACAAAATGCATGGCAGGGATGTACACAAGATGCTTAACAAATCACTAGGACTGAGCCACGGCCAAATTCACCCATTAAGAGGTTCAAACAAGCATGGCAAAAATGAATAAGCAAAACAGATTTCAGACTTAGTGAAATTAACACTAGTCTGAAATTTCAGACCACGATGCTCTCTTCGGAGCAGCAAAACAACATGAAACATAACCTGATCATGACAAGTAAGAACATGGCATAGAGCTACTCAACAAGATTAACAAAACACCCAAAGTGACCTGGGGCCAAAAGGGTTCACAAAATACTCTAACGAGCACACGAACATAGATGAAACACAATCAGTTTTCAGACTTAGTGAAAACTAAGACATGCTGAAATAATAACTCACGAAGGCATGTAAACGAGCTTGATGCACTCAGTACGGTGCAAGTCATGGCAAGGCAAGCATATATCCATAAAGAAGGCACAAAATGCTAGCTAGACATGGTAAGAACAATGGCATAGCATCCAGGGATCACTAGCAATAGCATCGGCAAAATCGCAAAAGAGTTCACGATCTGCCCAAATTAACAACGATGCAAAAGTTGAGCTCGATTGACTCAACCTAGGGTGCTCCAACATAACAAGTAAAGACATGGATGGATAGAGCATAACATAGATATCAAAACTCCCTTACCGATCATCCTCAAAAGAGGCACGGATCACTAGGAAACAAGATGAACATAAGGCATCATGAACTAAAATATCCCAGACTTAGAGAAAATCACTAAGTCCCTGAAAACAGAAATCTCAGGTACCCCTCTTTGCAAGCTTGCACAAGTCACTACACACATCCTAAAAATGCATGGGTGGCACCTCTAGAAAGAAGACAAAATGCTTAACAATTCATCCCAAAGGGTCACAGGCATATCATGCACACAATAATCATGGCAAAAATGACAAAAGTCTATGATGAGCTAACGGATCTGCAATTTAACTCACGATGCCTCCTTCTAACAGCATTTTGGGCATCAAGACAAACTCAAATGCAAATGGTGCAATGGAATGAAATGATGTACTCGTCGAGACGAAGATTTTGATATATCATATGTCCAAAATGGAGCTACGGATGCGGAGATATGAGCAGTCAAAGTAGGCATGAAAAACTAGGGTTTCGGGGATAAAAGTCAACCGGGGATCCTCAGATCCAGATCTGGATCGGCACGCTTCCCGAGGCGGCGCCGGAGTTCACTGTTCCCCGCCGGAAATGGAGCTCGCCGGCGAGGAAGAAGACCGCGGCGAGGAGAGGAAGAAGCCGGCCTTGGCGCGGCTCCCGAGGACGGCGGCGGCTTGGACGGGCGGCGCCGGCGGCGAGGGGCGGCCGGGC